AATTATATCTGCATCCTTGAGTACCATTGATTCTCTAATGGATAGTGATTCATAAAACACATTCACGAACCAGAGCGCTCTTACTAATCCAAGTACCGAATCAACACTCAAGAGAATTATTTATCTACTTCTTTCTCAAGAAGGAATGGATTCCATCTCGTATAATAACATTCCCAGTTACCTATTTCATTGTGTCTCCAAAATACAAGGAATAGGATTCAGGGTCTCAGAATCCGTATCGAGTAAATCAAAAGACATAAATCCATAAATAGGACTTTGTTAAGAACTCAGGATTAAGATCATCCTATATATGACCATCGGTAGACTCAATTATAATTTCTATGCTTAACGAAAATTATTAGAAATTCATATTGTGTCTGTGTCCCTGTTCCACATAATCTTATTATGCGAAATACACTTATTTAATATCTCGCCATATTAACAGTGCGGATAACACCGTTCCATTCTAAATGGGAATGACATGTATTAATAATGTTTTAATTAAAGATTCCGAACTTTAATTAAATTCATCATGAACAATGTTTTTGATTATTATTCTTAAACACTATCCTCTCGTATATAACACTTATATACTATGTTTAAGGTTACATAAACAATCACAGAATTTTCATTTGATATTCATAAAATATTCATAAATATATGCACATAAAATGATGAATAAACTCTTTTATTAATTAAATAATAAATATCCTATTACATCTCATGCTTCTAGGACACTATTCCCAACAGTCAATTCAGCAAGGCCCGACCTTGTACTGTTATGGGTTAGGCTGGCCCGGCACGCTAGAAGGGCTTCAGCTGGGCCTCATATTTGAGGCCCGCAGCCTAGGCACGGCCCATGGCGGCCAAGGCCCAGGCATGGCCCAAGCACGCGAAGGGCTAGGCACGGCCTGCGAAGGCCCAGGCTCGTGATATGAAATTTTAATGAGGTTTGAGGCATTTTAGGGCCAACTAGGTGACCTATGCCATCCGGTCAACGAGTTATTTTCTTGTAATTATTCATATTATTTCAATAAAATCACTTTTTTTTGGGGCTTATGATATATTACTTTTTTTATTGTCATCAAATTTGAAATTATAAAAAAAATCTTAAAAAAAATTGTTAATCATAAGTGAAACTCAAACGCATTAAGATAATTAGGTTAAGATTGAGTTTAGACATAACAGAATTTAGGTTTTGTAATTTACTTATCCTAAAATATTGCACTCTTTTTTCCTTCGCTAAGGTTTTGTCCTGATCTCCTCACGAATTTTACTTGATAAGATTTTTAACGAGAAAGTCATTTATGTATACTTATTCGTATTATCTTAATTTAATAAAATCACATCTTTTAAAATATATGATATATTTTCTTTTTTAATTAAATATTGTAAAAAAAATTAAAAGGACCAAGGTCTAAGTCCGACCCTGATCCTTATAGACTAAGAGGACGTTTGGTTTATGTATTTAGAATCATGATTCAGAACTATTTTCGTTTTACGTGTACTTTTTATGAGAAAAAACACTATAAAAAACTATAAATCATGATTCAAAATTAGAAACAAATATAGAAAATAAACGTCCATCAAGAGCTAGTGCTCAGCCTGAGAGTTTCTCTTCAGCCCAACCCTGACACAATCTTCCCACCACGAACCTGGGGTTAGAAGGACCGGTTCGGCCGGTATGACCCTTTTGACATCTCTAGCTTCAATCAATCTGGTCTGGTGCCCAAATTGACACATCTAGCAGGAGCTGCCGTGTCCTGCGAAACGACTGACGTTTTTGTTAGGGAATCGGCCGGTCGTTGCCAGTTGCTGAGTTTTGTTGTGGAGAAGGGTAAAAAAGGAAAATTGAAGGACGCAGTTAAATTCCGCCGTTTACCGAACTCAAATGTTGGCACGCATTTTTAGGCAAACACTTCATGACTAATTAGTCCATCAAATAACGATAAAACCAACGCACAAGCCCCCAAGCTCAGAGTTACTTCCCACCTCCAACAATGGCGGATCCAGATCAACACCCCCAAAGCCCCGACCTTCCTCGCTACGACATCGTAATCCTCGGAGCTTCGGGCTTCACCGGAAAGTACGTCGTCAGGGAAGCCCTCAAATTCCTCAACACCCCATCTTCCCCTCTCAAATCCCTAGCTTTAGCCGGTCGGAACTCTACCAAGCTCGCCGAAGCCCTCAAATGGGCGGCGCACCCGAACTCGCCGCCTCCGATTCCCATCCTCACCGCCGAAACCTCCGACGCGGCGTCCCTCCGCCGCCTCTGCGCCCAGACCAGGCTCGTCCTCAACTGCGTCGGCCCGTTTCGCCTCTACGGTGAGCCGGTGGTCGCCGCCTGCGTCGAGACCGGGACCGATTACTTGGACATCTCTGGAGAGCCGGAGTTCATGGAGAGGATGGAGGCTAAGTTCCACGACAAGGCGGTGGAGACCGCCTCGTTGGCGGTCTCGGCGTGTGGATTTGATTCAGTGCCGGCCGAGATCGGGTTGTTGTTTAACTCACGGCAGTGGACCGGACCGGCCGTGCCGAATCGGGTCGAGGCGTACCTGAGCTTGGAATCGGATAAGAAGATCGTTGGGAATTTTGGGACGTATGAATCGGCGGTGTTGGGTTTCGCCAATGCCCAGAAGTTAATGGAACTTCGGCGGTCCAGACCCAAAAGAGCTAGGCCAGTGGTGAGCAACTCTTTTTTCTTTCTTTCTTTTTTCCTTTTTTTTAATGCAGTAAGGATGAAAAAGATAGCTATTTGACAGAAATTTGATGGTCTGAAATTTCATTATAACAATGTCTGTAAAAAAAGAAAAAGAAAAATCTATCCTTGTTTTATATATATGATCAAGAACCTATATTTATCGATATTTTTTGAAAATGTGGATGAAAATGCAATTCCTTGTTGGTAGTAACTAGTAAGGATTCAGGAACAAGTGAAATGGAAGGGTAACGTATATGAATTGGTGGAATTGTGCTTGATGAGGTGTTTAAAGCAAGAGTTTTGATTGTGGCTTTGCTTGGTTATGAGTTTCCGTGTGCTTATGATTAAAAGTCAGTGCAAAGTTGAGCTAAATTTCGAATTTTGTTGGTTTGGAATGATTGAACTATGCAACTCATCAGATTGTATCGTCCTGATGATTTTTTTTTGATAGTACAGTTTGAACTTCTGTTCTTTACCAGATTAGTGAAAACTATAAAGTACGAGTTCCTTCTTGTGATAATCATACTAAGATAAATATTTTTAAAATGATGTCAGATTCCTGGGCCTCCTCCTCCAAAAGGTCCAACTATAGAACACCAGAAAGAAATCAACCTTTGGGCTGTTAGGCTTCCTTCAGCGGATTCCATTGTAGTGCGAAGAACACTTGCGACTCTGACTGAAAACCCTGGTGGTCTTCCTGGGAAGAATGAGAGCCCTGAACAAATTCAAAAGAGGGAGGCTTTCTGGTCAACTGTGAAGCCTGCTTATTTTGGGGTAAAGATTGGCTTCAAATCTTTGTTGGGCATTTTCCGAATCATGACAGTTGGGATATTTATTGGGATTTTTGGTAGGTTAGCCTTTGGGAGATGGCTTCTCTTGAAATTTCCCTCGTTTTTCACCCTTGGATGGTTTAGGAAGAAGGGTCCCTCTGAGGAGGAGGTAAGAAGGGCCTCGTTTAAGATGTGGTTTGTTGGACATGGTTTCAGTGATAGCAGTCTTCTTTCACAAGGAAAATCGAAACCTGACATGGAAATAGTAACAAGAGTCATGGGTCCTGAGATTGGCTATTTGACCACTCCAATAATTCTGCTTCAGTGTGCACTCATCGTTCTAAGCCAACGTGAAAACCTACCCAAGGGAGGAGTTTTTACCCCCGGGATTGTTTTTGGTCCAACCTATCTCCAAGAACGACTCCAAGAGAATGGAGTATCTTTTGATCTTGTTTCAAAGAATGCTATTTCTACTTAGCCAATACAGTGTTTTATATTCAGCGGAAACTCTAGTTGAAAATGTTCTTATCTCATAAATAGTCGCACACAATAAGTTCTCTACTAATTAGTCTCATCCATATGCGTTGCAACAAATATTGCAGTTTAGTTGAGCAGTTTTAGCTTTTCGGTTGTTTCAACTGATTGCTTTGTACTTATCATCTGAAAGTGATTGTTTACAAGCTAAAACAGTTTTATTTCATATATCCTCTCGCTCTCTCTCTACCAGTCACGCATGCACAACTGCAGCTTAGAAGAAGAAAACTACAGAAAAATCATACAACCACTAACCCTTTCCAAGACTCAATGAGATCAGCAAGTCTCTTATATGAACTCCCACCTTCATCAACTGCCATTCTAACCTCATTTCGAACCTTGGCTGCTCTCGATCTCATGAATTGATTTCCCAACAACTCTCCAACTGTCTCTGCAATCTCTTCCCCTTTAACCACCATTGCCTCTCCACACCAGCCCCAACTCTTCACCCACATCCCAACTCCAATTCTCTCAACCAGTTCTGCATTGATTTTCTGGTCCCCATGTTGAGGCCACAGTAACATGGGCACGCCATGCCATAAAGCCTCAGTGATGGAATTCCAACCACTGTGACTTAAAAACCCACCAACTGCTGCATGGCTTAGTACTTCCTCTTGGTTCAGCCAGTTCTTCACCACAAAGCCTTTTTCCTTCATTCTCTCCATTAACTGCTGGCCCATCATGTCCATCAATTCCAAGCTATCTTCTTTATCAACTTTCTTATCCTTAACAACCCACAGAAACCTTTTACCACTTCTCACCAATCCATCACCTAACTCTCTGATCTGCTCTCTTGATATAGCTGTCCTACTTCCGAAGCTGACATACAACACCGATCCAGGTGGTTGATCATCAAGCCACGCTAAAGGTTGGCTCTGCTCGAGATTGAATGGAGGAAGTGGTCCAATGGCATGTACTGGTGGTAAACCTCTCAACACTTTGCCTTTGCTTAGCGCTTCTAGCGACTCGCCATCTACAGTCTCGTTTGTGTTTACCAGAATTCCACTTGATTCTGTCATTTTCTTGCCATTTTCAATGAAATAGCTCTTCAAGAGATTCTTAGTGTCTTGTAAAAGTGGAGGGGGAATCCATGATCTGGGTATTGGTTCCAACCCCGCAATTTTGATGAAATCTTTCATTTCGCTTGTTTCACATCTATCTCTTGGGTCTACCATGATGTGGAAGGACAGGAAAAGTGTCAACATTTTGGCAGATGATGTGAAGAAAATGTAGTTTGGGAGTTGAAGGGCATCGGTTATAGGAATAACTGTGGAGGCCAAGCTCATGTCTGTGATAAGAGCAGAGAGCGGTGGGGAGAGTGAGGAGAGGAGAGGAGATAGAAGATGAGAAGAGTGACGAATCACTTCGAAGTGGTAGTAAAAAGGGTCTTCAGATTTGGCAGAAGGATCTTCTAATGGAAGGAGATGAAGCTGCTTTCGAGTAATCCGAGGAAAGGTAGAGAACAAGTGGGATAAACTCTGTGACTCGGAAAGTGATACAGTTGGATATGGAGTGATGAAAGTGACTCGTACATTGCTGGTTGTGAGTAAAACAGCAAGCCTAATGAAGGGTGTGAGATGACCCATGCCAGCGCTTGGAAGCAGAGCCACATGAGGAGTTAGCTTCGGATCATAACCAGAACTTGACATTTTGGAGGCAAAATCGTGGGAGGAAGAGTTTCTTTTTGTTGGCACGTTTTGTACTATTACAAAGGGAAGGAGTTAAAATGCATTTGTGCAGAAAATTGCAGTCATATATAGCGAGTGGCGACGGCCCTTTTTCTTTTTCTTTTTTTTTTTTTTTTTTTTTTTTGGGGGGGGCACAAAATTACTTTCATGCCCAACTAATGCATTGGACTTGGACACTTGAAATTTCAAAGTCAAAAGGCCGTTGCGGAATGGTAGACAATTAACTGATCCGGACAAGAAAAAAGAATCATTTTGCTTGGAGGTCAAGAAAGTTGGAGTAGTGAAATTTGCAAGATCCATCGTCATGAAAGTGACAGGAGATGTACATACATGCAAGATCCATCTCGTGTATTTAGGAGATCTTGTCGTTTCGTAAATTTTTTGTTTGTTAGGAATATCGTTTTCAATATTCTTCTTTTTGGAATAACTTTGCTGTCGTTTTTGTTTACTATTTCAAATTATTGTCGTTTATGGGCGAGGCACTATATTACTAGTTGTGCCTTGTTCTTTAAACATATCGTCGTTTTCAAGTTATGGAGGTGGTATATTTTCTAGATTTATTATTAATTGAAAATATCATTTTCAAATGATTTATTATTAATTGAAAGTATCATTTTCAAATATTTTAACGTTTCTGCATTGTAAGCTTTCTCATACTCTTTCTTTGTGCATGGATTTCGTCATCGTTTTCGTTTTGGCTTTTGTTCTTTGTGCTTGAAGTTGTTGTCCAGTAGAGGCTAAATTGTTTGTTTGTTTGTTTTTGTTTTTGTTTTTATAAAGTAGAGGCTAAATTGTTTGTTTGTTTGTTTTTGTTTTTGTTTTTATAAAGCAAATGTTGTTTGGCGTTTGACAGTGCTGTGGATTTTGAAAAAAATATTTTTAACTGTGGTGAAAGAAGAAGCAGCTGTTACAAAAATCAACTGAGTGTTTAGTAAACTGTAATTATACTAACTGTGCTGGTTTCAAAATCAGTGTAATAGCATTTGGTAAATTTTAAGGCTAAATTGTTGTATGTAAAATGACTAAAATAGACATAGTATGAAACTTAAATATATATAATTATTTTTGGCATTTAAAAATATAATATAATTTTTAAAAAAATAATGCTATAATTTTGAGTTTTCTAACAATAAATTTATGATAATTAATTCTTTTTTTTTTTCATTTCTTTATTCACAATATAGTTACAACTAAAATGAGCATTAATGAGTAATGAACGTATACAAAAAAATGTACATTCCAAAGCTATACAAGTATCAATTTACACCGTGTACTACTATCCTCTATACAAGAAATTCTCTAGACAATGTTAAAAAGCCATCAAAGGATTGATAGAACATTCAAATCATTGTTATATATACACGTACTGAAAAGATGAAGCAACGGTAAAACAAAACTACAACATTAGAATAAACCCCACTTATGGCACATGGCAAGGACAATTCCAAATGACATTTTGAAATTTAAGAGTGTGGGGAAAGACCAATTGTAATGTTTTGACTTTACACACAAAAGGGAAAAAAAAAAGACTTCATCTGATGAGAATGCATTTTGTTGGCGATCCCTTTGAACCAAGCAGCTTCAAGGGTAAGCAATGGAGAGAATATATTCCAACTTGAATGCCGTCAAGCTTTAGTCCTTCAACCAGAATGATGTCCTGAGGCATAGAACACAACATTATTCTCACTAAGAGCATCCAAAATTGATTGTTTCCCAGTTCAAATCAACACTGCCAAGCGTTCTTTGGAGAGCAACATTAATTGTAATGTTATCATAAACGTCATTGTAATTTTTATCAATCATAGCTGAATTGAACCAAAATTGGCGCAGGATAAAGGAGAGAAGAATTAGTAGGCTTGCAAATGAATGTTTTAAGATTACGATGTTTATGAAATTGTTCTATTATATTAATCCAAAGTCTAAGTGGCTAGCAAAATAAAAAGTCGCTAAATAAAATATCACTCTCCTTAGTGAACAAACAAACAAACATCAATGGCATTTCACAAACACTTTCCAAATTCATAACAAACACTAAGAATCTGAGATCGAGGATTACCCCCAAATTCAGACTTACATCCTCTCAAACACCAAATTCATAACAAACACCAATATGACGCACAAGGTGCACTAGAGTGAAACAAAACGTAAATTAGATGTATAGGGGATGAAATATTTACCTACAACTAAATAGTTTGTATATGTATTATGCAGTGAAAACCGTATCCAAAGAAGATTCTGTTCCCACTGTCCTATAATTGTATACAAAAACATTAACAGCAGAACCAAAACCAACCTAAGTCCACAGATTAAACTTTTCCCCAATCGATGCTACAAATCTAAAAATACACAAATTAAATAAGAAAAAACATAACCCACATGCCCTTACAGTAAAGCAAATTGGTAGAATTGAATTAAAAAAAATCCCGGTAAAAGAGTTAAGTCGTGTTCAAAAACTTGCCAAATAACCATATCCATGAAACAATTCCAACCAAATAAACATCCCCATTCCAAAAAAAAATAGTTCTTGCAAACATATATATCCATAAACACATGTATATACCTACAAACACAAACATAAGTCCTTTCATTTTTCAAACATACGCAGAAATTTGCACAAATACGAGATTAAAAACCGAAACCTAACAAGCACAGCCACGATTTTTTTGCACATTCAGTAAAGGATCTAACACAAAAAACCAAAAAATTTGAGGACAAATAAGAAACAAATCTTGAAAAAGTAAGATCAATAGAGTACTTACAGAGGCGTCGTTCCAGATGTGATGAGGTTGAGACCGGCGAAACTTGGGAGAGGAGACCGCAAGAATAAGGAGACCGGAGAGCCGCTACTCGTGCAGAGGAGATTGGAAACTAGCGCAGACAGGGAGACTGAGAGAACACAGAAAGAGAAGAGGGAGACCGGCGAACAGAAAAGGGAGAGGAGAGACCGGAGAGAGAGAAGAGCGAGACAAGAGAGAGCGCAGAGAACAGAGAGAAAGAAGAAAGAGAACGGAGTGATGACAGACATGAGAGAGGAATATGAGTGGATGAAAATTATTTGATTTCAACGGGGGTAAAATGAGGAATAGAAAAATTTCATTAATGAAAAAAGAAGAGATTCCCGCATAAAATCAGAAGCACTCAAAGGGTTGCTCTTGATTCCACCGTAAAAATAGCTTAAGATTCTTGAACAAGTAATTATTTTGCTTCTTACCAAACGGCAGAAAGAGCTTAAACCGGGTGAAAAAGTGCTTTTAATATGCTGCCGCCATTGATAAATTAAGGATTCGTTTGGTTGGAGGATTCAAATCATGTGATTTGAACTATTTTTGATTCACGTGTATTTTTTATGAGAGAAAATACTGTAACGAATTATGAATCATGATTCGAATCAGGGAACGAATCCCTTTACCAAATGCCCCTCTTATTTCACATTGGAAGAGTCGTTACGTGACAAGTGTGAAGTGTCTCTTTCTTACCGATCGAGCACTATCTTCAAAATTCTGTATCATCTGTGTTCCTGCTTTCTTTTTGCATAATTAGATTCTTGTTTACTTCTGAATAAACCAAGAGAAGGTAAAGATCTATTACAATTTCTAGAAGAGAATAGAACACGTGTAAACGTTCATATTCGATGCTTACAGGCTCACTACATTGCCCAACATTTCACAAGACTAGGCTCATAGTAGTAGAATGTAAATTAATTGCTTTGTCAATAAAGGAAAAAGTACAAATAATTTAAGAGAAAATAAAAATGTTTAACATGTAAAGTCAAATTTACTGAAGACTCGGGGGAAAAAAAAAGAAAGGCTTCAAAAGTCCGTGAGTAGAAACAAGTCACAACACACTACCAAAAAAAAAAAAAAAAAAATTAAGGATTAATCTGATTGTGTGTCTCTTAAACTTCATGGTCATTTCCTCTTTGCTTTCTAAATTTTTAAAACTCTTATTTTGCTCTTTAAAATTCAAATTTATCCCATTTAAGCCCATTTGTAAGAATGAAAAAGAATGGTTTAAGTGTGACAATGTGGTTTTTATATTTTTGTTTTTAACATAAATTTAAACAGAAAAATCATGTAATTGCATTATTCTTTTTTTTTTAATAGAAATTATAACAAGAAGAGTTAAAAGGGAATAATTCAAAGTTTATGAGGTAAAGTAAAAGCTTGTAAAGTTTGGGAATCAAATTGAAAAGGACCTTAAAGTTGAAAAGCATCAGTAATAATAATAATAAAATTAATAAAATAGAAAATCACAGCCAAAATAAGGTACTGAAATAAGATCATAAAATTGAGCGAGGACAACCAAAATTTGCAAAGCCCAAAAAAAAAAAAAAAATGACAACCAAAATTTGAGCTCCTTGTCTCAATTTCTCTTTCTTCTTTTTTGTTTGTTTGTTTGATTTACGTTTGTTTGCTCATAAAGTAATCTGAAAACGAAAAGAACTGTAACTAACGTAGATTTGTTTTCTATTAGTTAGTCAATAGTTTTCTAATAGTATTACTAGGGTAGGTTTGAAGATTATCAAAAAAATTGATCATGTCAATCATTGGCTACTAAGTGGACGTTTAGTTCATAAATTCAGAATTATTTTCGTTTTACGTGTATTTTTTATAAGAGAAAAATACTATAAAAAATTATAAATTATGATTCAGAATCTGAGACGAATATAGAAAACAAACATCCTTTTATTATTTTCCAAGTTTTTGTTTTAAATGGCAAATTGCAAAATCTGGTTTCTTTTCACAGCTCGCCCGGTTGATCCGTGTCTGTACTCATGAACTATGAAGTCATGAATTATGACTTTAGTGTATGGAGAGATTTTCCTTCTTCTCTCTCTCATTGAGAGATTAATTCTTATTTTTTTAATTTGCTCTTTTACACTTTCGTTAGTTTTATAGCAACTAAAAATGGCATATATTGGCTAAACGACAGTAAATTAAGAAAGCGACAATATGTTTAAACCACAATAACTACGAAAACGACGTTAACGTATGGACGACGATAGTAAGCAAGAATATATATGTATATATGTATGTGCATAACGATAACACCCCCTAAGACATCGATGTCAATAAGAAAAGACAACAAATTAGGGTACAACTAGTGGAAACAGATTATAGAAGAATAATGCTACGATGCCCAACTCTACTTCTAACTTCTTAAATCTGTTTGTCCTTTGTGAGAGATCTTGTCGCTTATCAGTTGGGGAAGAGAGAAAAAGAAAAATATGCTTAATGCCATTTTAGTATTCCAATGAACGGATGGTGGGGGGAGAGAGAGAGAGAGGGAGAGAGATTTTCAAGTACTAGAAGCAAGACAAAAAGTGATTGAACTTCCTGTTATTTCAATATGCATAAAAGGAAGGTGAGGAGAGAGAGAGAGAGAGAGAGAGAGAGAGAGAGAGAGAGAGAGAGAGAGAGAGAGAGAGAGAGAGAGAGAGAGAGAGGAGAGAGAGAGAGAGAGATTTTCAAGTGCTAGAAGCGAGACAAAAAGTGAGTGATCGCTTTGGATTTATGGAACTTGAAGAGGAACAGTGGGTTGCTACTGGATATTGATTGAACTTCCTGTTACTAGACAATTGAACCCTGTCAAAGATGGTAGAATACTTTTCATAAGCCAAATTGAGTTTTCTACCCTCTTAAGATGTTTTCTCATTGAGTTTCCTTGTTACAAAACTCGTCGAATTTGTCACTTTAAAAATCTTTGAAACGCGGTTTAGTCTTCATGCTGAACTTATCAACAGTCGGTAACAACTTTTCGTTGGCCACCTAAATAAGTCTTTTTCGTCCAATTTGGTTGAACTTTCCATTAAACTGTCGCACAAAAACCAACAGGGCTCTCATGGTGATTTGACAATGGAAGAACGTCAAATTCTACTTGCGGAGCTCTCCCTTCGTCGTCGCAAGAGTTCAATCAGCATTGCTCATGAGTTTGCCAAGAGGAAAGCAGCTATGCTAACTCCAAAGCAATGAATTTGATGTGCTACTTTTGTATGCTTTCACTTGGGGATGCTCAAGAATCATGTCTCACTCAGTCTTGGGAATATGCCTAAAAGAAGTGACCAAGTTGATTTCTTATCTATTGCACCAAGAACAGAAAAGAATGCCCAAGAAATCTTTCGAGTTAGAAAAAGGGTCTCAGTTTGACATTTGATGTAACGGGGGTGACATGGTGGCATGCCTTTTCTTGTATCACTCTTCTTTGGGATTTTTCATGTTCATCGTGTAATTTGTATAGGAGAAAAATATTACGTCCCTCTGTTTTGCAGAACTTGTTTGAGAAAACCTGCTATTAACTCCCAATTCACTGTTGAAAAAGAAAAAAGAAAACAGTCAAATACTGACTTATTGCTTGGATGATATTTCCTCTCTTTTGTTGTTTGTATGCTAATGTCGCCGTCACATAGTAGTGTCTACTGTCCAACATTATAGTCATTTTCAATTGTCTTTTCTTTATGGGTACGGAGTCACACGATCATTTTAAAGGCTTAATCACGAAATACAAACTTTCTTCCTTAACTATAGCCCTTGTTAACATCGTGCCCCAATTTTCAGATTGTAACATTTCTTCCCCTTGTTATACTAACATATGTAGTTGTCGTTCTTTTGAGTTACAGTCATTTATATTTTGAATCGTTACTATTTGCTTTTCTTCAAAATTCTAATACTTCTAAAATGAATAAGACTCATTAAAAATGCTAAAACAGACATCCATTAAAAATAGCAGAGTTACAACTCTTACAATACTCGAATACTAACATACTTTGAAGTTTGATCTCACAACTACTGCAATAATTCCAAGAGTTCCTTGAGCACCTTCTCAGATTTCCCACCAATCTTAGTCGCCTTCCGAGCCTCTTCCCCTACTTTCTTAGCCTTTTCCCTCAGCTTCTCATCTTCCATTACCTCCCTAATCTTTTCCCCAATCTCTTCTCCACACACCAACTCAGCTTGGTCAGCCCAACCCCAGTTCCTTTCCCATATTCCCAGTCCTGCTTTCTCCACAATCTCTGCATTCACCTTTTGATCCCCATGCTGTGGCCAAGCCACCATAGGAACCCCCTGCCGAGCTGCTTCGATCACCGAGTTCCAACCGCAATGACTCACAAAAGCACCAATTGAAGGATGTGCCAAAATCTCCTCTTGACTCACCCATCCCTTCACTGCCATTCCCTTGTTCATTGTTCTTTCCAAAAAAGAACCACCTAGCAGATCTTTCAGCTCATCCTTGTCCTCTTTATCAATCTTGGTGCTTTTAACCACCCAAAGAAATCTATGTCCACTCCTCTCCAGTCCCTTTGACACTTCTCTTATTTGGTCTCTTGATATTGCTGTTCTGCTCCCAAAACTCACATAAACCACAGACTCCTCAGGTTGGTTGTCCAGCCATGACATGTACTCACCCTTGTCCTTCTTAATTTCAAATGATGCCAATGGCCCTATTGGGAGGAATGATGGGAGAGAGTTCTCCAAAACTCTTCCGTTTTTTATTTCTTCAAGAGTTTCTTTTTCGAAAAAATCAACGGAATTCACTATGATTCCTTTGGCTTTTGAAAATTCTTTAGCGTTCAGAACTAAACATCTGGTGAAGAGGTGATTTGGATTCTTGAATGGTGAAGGAATGCTTGATACGGGAAAAGGGGTCAAACCCGGGATAATGAGCTCCGTAGAACTGTTACCAAGTTTAGCAGGATCGGTTACAAGTACAGGAAGGTATGCTATTAGGCAAAAGAATTTAATGGAGGTGGTGCAAATAATGTAGCTTGGTATGCCAAGCTCGGCGGCCATTGGCGTTATACTTGAAGCTACAAAAAAATCTGCGAAGATAGCGGAGAAAGGCGGCGAGGAAGAGGACAGCAAGGGATATAGAAGGTGAGCAGAGCGCGTGATGGACTCATATTGAAGATAGAAAGGGTCATCTGCGGTGGGGTTGTGGGATTGTATAGTTTGGAAGTCAACATGTTTGACTTGTGGATGTTGAGAGAGGAAGGCGGAGATGTGGGAGGATTCTGCGGCGGAAACAATTGGCTTTGCCGTGATCAATGTGACGGTGCAATTGCGAGATAGAAGCGTGGAAGCGATTCGGAGAAAGGGAAGCAAGTGGCCCATTCCGGCGCTTGGAATGAGAGCTATGTGAGGATAGAGAGATTTGGTGTCTGCTGTGGTTTTTGACATGTTTCTTCTCTTCTCTCTCTCTTTCTCTCTCTCTGAAGAATCAAGGTTTCCCAAGATATGTTTTGGAACTTTAGAAAGTGATGTGTGCGAGATGGATTGTTATTTTTAAGTTCATATATAGACGAGAATTAGGTTGGTTTGGAGTAGAAAGGTAGGTGAAAACGTGAGCCATGATCCTGGATCAGCTTATCAATTGGGTTGGGTAAGGAGGAATTTTATTATTATTGTTGTTTCTTTAGTTTTTTAGATTGCGGTTTTATTGAAACACAATATATATATATATATATATATATACACACACACACACACATATATTGATATTGATGGATTGCTTGCATCTTCTTCTTTAAAAAAATGAAAAGTTCACGCGAGGCACATGCTAGCGAGATGGATTATTATTTTTACTGAGCCATGATCCTGGATCAGCATATCAATTGGGTTGGGTAAGGAGGAATTTTATTATTATTATTGTTTCTTTAGTTTTTTGGATTATGGTTTTCCAATATTTTATTGAAACACAATAAATATATATATATATATATATATTTATATACACACACATATTGATACTGATGGATTGCTTGCATCTTCTTCTGTTTAAAAAAATGAATAGTACGTATATTTATATGATATCGGTATGGAGGCGTGGGCACAGATTTACATCTAACACGGTTTGCATTTCTCAATTCTTACAGCGCGCCCCCACTTAATGATGTTTTACATTTTTTATATACTGCAAGTTCAAGTTCAACCAATAAAACTTCTACATTGTAAACCTAATCTAGTTTGTCTATTATTTGAACTTTCGTTGAATTGAATGAAATCATTCATAGTCACTTTACTCCCAACTCTTTTTTTTGTATTTCTTTTTTCTTTGAAATTTTCCATTATTTCCAAAACCGTAGACTTGTTTTCTATTAGGTAATCAATCGTTTTCTACAAGTATTACAAAGGTAGGTTAAGGAAGATTAAAAAAAAAATTGATCATGTCAATCATTGGCTAAATGCCAAAGGTTTTTTTTTTTTTTTTTTTTTTTTTTTTTTTTTTTTTTTTCTTTTCAAAAAGGCAAGTTGTAAAAACTAGTTCCCTTTCGCAGCTCGTGATCCGTGTGTCTGGATGAACTATGAAGTCATGAACCATGACTTTTCTAATTTCTCTCTCTCATTGAGAGATTAATTCTTAATTCTTATTATTTTTTTAATTTTGCTTTTTTACACTGTTGTTAGTTTTCTAGCAACTAAAACGACTCTAATTTTCAGAAACGGCATAAACGACAGTAAATTAAGAAAACGACAACATGTTTAAGCCACAATAACTATGAAAAAGACGTCAATGTATAAACGACGACAGCAAGCAAGAATTTTTATGTGTGTGTGTGTGTGTGTGTGTGTAACGACCACACCCCGTAAGACATCGATGTCAATAAAGCAAAGACAATAAATTAGGGTACAACTAGTGGAAACAGATCATTGAAGAATAATGCTACGATGGCCAACTCTATTTTAACTTCTTAAATCTGTTTGTCCTTTGTGGGAGATCTTGTCGCTTATTATATAATGCACTCGTTTGTAAGTTGAATTTCTGTCGTTTACGAGACATAATGCAGTATTTGGAGTTAATTATTGTCGTTTTAGGAAATTGTTGTTTTTGGGTTATATTGTCGTTTTTCTTAGATTTCTTCTCCCCTTTTTAAGGACATTCATTTTAGGCTGTTGCATGCTTAAAAAAAAAAAAGAAAAAACAAAGTCCAGCAGATAAAAAAAATAACGAAACTACAAAACATTTCAACATCATAGAATAACAGATTGCCAACCTAAAAAGAATTCTCCATATCACCTCTGTTGTTGTTGTTGTTGTTGTTTTTTAGGAGATTTTGTCGTTTACTTGTTTTTTTGAGAAGGAAAAAATGTCGTTTCATCAAGTCTCTTGGTACGTGTGGTTCTACGACTTCTTTTAGCAAAATTTTGTGCGAGTTTGGAACTCGTTCTAAAATGATTTTATTTTTTGTATGAAAATGAAAATAAAAACGTTTTCAATCTCATACAGAAATTATTTTTAAAAATACGTTTAGTAATTTTATTAAAAGATTATTTTCAGTATAAAAAATCATTAATGTTTCTCTTCCCCTCTCTCTGCTCGAGTGAGAAAAAAACAAAAACAAATAATAAAAAACAACTAAAAGTCATTTTTCATTTTTATTTCATTTTACACTAAACTAAAAAATCATTTTTATTTTTTGTCTTTATTACACCAAACATCATTTTAAAAATATTTTTATTTTTTTTCTCGAAAAACGTAAAAAATAAAAACGGGATCAATTCCAAACACGACCGTTGGTTCTACAACTTATCTTAGCAAAACGCTATCCGGTCGCCGTTGTCTGCTGAGCCGCAAAAGCCTCCATTTTTGCCTGTCTTTGCTTCACAGTGCTTCTGCATATCTTGCCGCCAAATACCTCCTTGGCTTAGTTTGGTAGTGCTGTGGATTTTAGAAAAATTGCTTTTAGCTATGCTGAAGGAAGAAGTAGCTGTTACAAGAAGCAGCTGAGTGTTTGGTAAACTATAATTATAGTAGCTGTGTTGGTTCCAAAATCAGTGTAATAGCGTTTGGTAAAGTTTGAAGTTGAATTGCTGTGGTATGTAAAATGACCAAAATAGACATGGTATGAAACTTAAATATATATAATTATTTTTGGTATTTAGAAATACTTGTTTAACTTTAAAAAAACATATGGATATGATTTTGAATTTTTTAACAATAAATTTATGATAATTAATTCTCTTTTTTTTTTTTTTTCATTTCTTCATTCACAATATAATTACAACTAAAAGAAGCATTAGTGACAATTACTCAGGGACAGTTGCAGTCTTCGAGTTGTGGAATTGTTTTGTGCTCTCTCTCTTGCAAAGCTTGACAGAGACAATTGCAGTATTGATAACGCAACCAAATACCATAATTATCAATTTTGGTAGGATTCTTCTAAAAAATTTGCAAGAAAATATGATAAATTTGTTGAGAAATTTCATGCTAAGAAACGGGCTAAGCCAAATGATAATTAATTATAAGACCACAAATAAAGAACATTTTAAACATATTCATATCCATACACACACACACACACTTACGTAAATGAGCAAATTCACACATTGTTGGGTGAGGCCCTTGGATCGGGCTAGGTGGAGCCACCTAGTTTCGATTAGGATTATCATTTCCTAATCAAAATACCATTGGTATAATAGGATTATTAATGAAGCATGCTAGAGTGAAGCTATGCCATTTATTTATTTACCTGCATTGGATTGTTTAAGCAAAAAGAAATAAATATATGAAGTATTGTTTTATGACACATTTTGCTATTTTTTTGATAATAAAAACTTTATTGATAAAATTCAATAACAAGGACAAAGGTATCCTCAAACCAAAAAGAAACAAAAATGGCCAGGTGTAAAAAACTGACTAACATACAAAAAGAGCAAGACAAACACATAAATGGTATCTCAAATCAATTCCCTATTACATCTTTCTAATTCAAAATGACCAAAGTAAACGGGAACCCTGAAGCAGCTCATAGCAATGCATAGAACTTTGTCTTCTCAAAAATATCAATTAGCCCCATCGCCTTTTTCTAAAAAATTATGTCATTCCGTTCCATCCACAGAGATCATAACAATGAGAGCACCATACTATTCCATAAGACTCTGGCCTTCTTATTAGTTCCTTCGATTATGTATGTATGGATAAGAAGAATCAAACAAAACACATAAACAAATGTATATTGTTAGCAACCTGGTATAATTATTTGAAGGCATGGAATTTTTTTTCGAATATGTTTATATTTTTGGCAGAGAAAGGAAACAAAAAAGTATTTTATAGAAAAGCTAAAACTTACACACTCACAACTAATTATAGTAGGACCGAGGGGACATATAAATATAAATATATATATATATATATACATACATATATATCCATACACACATGTAAATACAAACATATAACCTTCAAACACACACCACGTATATACCTACAAACATGTATATACGTACAAATACAAACTTAAGTCTTACAAATACACGCGTATATACCTACAAACTTAACTCAAATGAAAAGAATTAAGTCGTATTCATTAAGGTTGCCGCAATTTAATCTCGTACTCCATCCATTTCCAGTGATAGTAAAACTTGATTGTCTTCTACATTATTGTCATCTGGTTGATTCTCTTCATAAACGAAATCATCTGGATTATCCTCAACCCTTTGAAAATGTAGATCACGCTAATGGAAAAGCCATTCCTTTGAAATTGGTATTGCCATCTCCAAAATCCAACAAACCAAACGCAGCCTAAGATTTTCAATAAACAGTCAGATAGCAGGTTCCTCTTTCTATCTAAGCTCTCACTAAGGAAATGTGCTTTTATCGTTTAGTTTCTCTGGACTTGTATCTGCTAATGCTGTTTTCATTTTTATTCTCCTGAGGTTTATACAGGTCGTTTCCTTCTTACTTGTTATCATGTTGTCAGGCCTCTTTTGCACTTCAGTAAGCAAAACACTTTTTTTTTTAAAAAAAAGACGAAATGAAGAAGAATAAGGGGGAATATCAATTCCTGCATCACTTGTGCTTTAATAAGCAATAGCTTTAGTAGAAGAAAGCAAAGCCAAAAAAACTTCTGTCACTGGAGATCAAGAGAAGTCAACTACAAAGACATCAAGTCATCAACACAACCTGTTACGTAACTCTTGGCAATTATCTTGATTAAAGTTTTCTTTAATGCATTTCATCCCTCTTATTTTTCATCCAGTTTCATGACTTTTCATTTCCCCCATTCTGCCTTTCTTTGCTCTGATTTCAATCTAATATCCATGTCCATGTCAAGCTAACTAAAAGCATCAGGAGCCGTATTACAGTTGCATACCTTGTTCTTCCATTTCCAAGCAAAGTGTTTGTACATATTTTTGTTCTTCAGAGTTCAGCCACAGTAACTCTAAACAAGTGATAATGTCAGAAGACTTTTTTCCAATCATAGAGTACCTAGAAATTATAGTTAAAATTAGGCCACGCGACATGCAGCCAAGCCACACCCGATGAAACTTGTGTACTTTAAAAGTTTTATTTTCCCCATTTATGTTATGTTTTTGACTGTGTACTTTATAAGTTTTGGAAAGAAGATATATATAATACCCTTTTCATGGGACTCGGCAATCCTCAACTCCGTATTCACCCGGATTGTTAAGAGGATAGCATGGAAGAACTTAAAGACTTAGGCCTCGTTTATTTCACCGATTCGAGTTTTCAGTTTTAGGTTTTTACAGTAAAAAACTCTCAGAAAATGTCACATCTAACTTTTTTTGCTACAGTGGAAAGCTCTCAGAAAATGTCACATCTCAACTCGAATTGAAAACTCGAATCCGCGAAGTGAACGATGCCTAAAAAAGTTAACCCCTTCATGATTTGTAACTTGGAGTTCCAACAGTGCGTAATCCAGGTTATTATCAGAATGCAACCCGTCGCATGAACCTACATATCCTTTTAAAGAAGAAAACTAAAGACATTTGAATCTAGGACACTTTTAGCTATTGCAAAGAGATTTTCACATTACTTATGCAAGACAAGACTCTAATAATTTCCTTAAACACGTGATATCGTTCAGATTACTTTATATCATGTCAACAAAAATATGAAAGCTGAGCAAAATCTTTGTGAACTAGCCAAGCAAGACATTTTGAATTGACAAGCACCAGAAAGTACTACCACTAAGTGGGAAATTCCTTTTGCCATCCAGAACCCCAACAAAGTCAGTGATCATAAAAAGATGCAAACTTTGAGAAGCCATAATAAGAATTAAGGAGATCAACATTTCACATGCAGAGACTCAAAACTAAAAGATTTCAGCATCTGATAAGCCACAACCATTAATTCGGCCAAAGAGAGAAATTAAGCAAATTTATGAAGGTTCAATATTCTAAACATAAATGTAAAAGTAACCCAACAACCCATAACTGAATTTCATGAATCAACATAGTTAAGAAATCTTGTTAAACATAAGTTTCTTCTGCAAACAAATAAACGATCCTTAAAGTGAGATAAGAAAAAAACCCATCACTAAAACTCAAAAGATAACCATAAACAAATACGCAATCTTCACAAATGCGCTAATTGAGACCATGAAATGTTGTTCTCCAAAAAGGGTAAAATTTTTCATTTTGATAATACCCAAAACTTCACTTGAAAAAAAAAAAAAAAGCCAGGAGAAGAGGTTACCTTGCCACTGATAATAAGCCAACAGTCGTTGGAAGTGTTGTGGTCGGAGACTTCAGCCAAAGTGAAGATCTTCCCATCACCCACCCATTTGGGTTTCTGAAGCAAATACAAGGCCTCGGAGAGGAAAATAGGAGGATGGGTGCTTTTATTTATGCCTCAAAACCACAAAGCTGATATCACTTAGGCTGAGAGAGGCTGGGAGAGGCTGAGAGAGGCTAAGGCGAGAGAGCACGAGAGGAGGCTGAGGCTGAGAGTTTCAGGAGCGGCTGAGGCTGAGAGCACGAAGAGAGTTTCAGATGATAGGTTTTCAGGGCTATTTTGGGAATAATAAAAATTTCATTAGAAGCAAGCAAGTGAGCACAAAAATAGCTTTTAGATTCTCTAGAATCCATTTTTATGTGTTTACCAAACACATTTTTTCTCTCTCTCTGTACAATGGCCGCCTGCAAAACCCTAGTCAGTACATCCCTTTCTTCCGTGGCTTCTACTCTCCGAAGCAGTAGACTGACCTTATCTTCCCCTCACAACTCGCCCTCTCTTTGTTTCTCTCCTTCCATTTCCTCTCCCCAAGGTTCTCTCCTTCTTCCTCTGTATTTTCCTCTTCATTTTTCTCATTGTCTGCTAATCGACCTTCTTCAATCTTGTAGGGTTAAGAGCACTGCAGAACAGAGTCCTCTCAAGATCCTACGCTTCGATCGAAGGAGCTTCGCTTTCAGTGGAATCGATCGATTGAGCGGAAGAGATTGAACCGCCGGAGAGCCCGATGCAGGACAACCTCGAGCACTTGCTCACGCACAAAGACGACGTCGTACGGCTGATGAAGATGGAACACCGTCGTATCGACACCGATCAGCGGACCGGCCGGTGGTTCCCGTACCTGGACCGGTTCAAGTGCGGAGACGCGTACCTGAGCAGCGGCGAGGTAGTGGAGGCTCTGGAGCCGCACATAATGGAATCGAGGATGGAGAGGTTCAGGAACGTGGCGACTAATAGGAGCTACTCCGTCTGTTTGGTGGTCGAAGGGCTCAGCGATTTCGGGAACGTTTCGGCGGCGTTTCGGTCCGCCGACGCTCTCGGATTTCAGTCAGTTCATGTCGTCTCCTGCGACGGCTCCAAAAGGTGCAACGACATCTGAGGTGAAACAGAGTACAAAGAAAAGATAATTAAAGATTGCTGTTTGTTTTCTGTGCTGTGTTTGTTCGCAATTGATTAGGAGTTTGAAAGTGGTAGTTTTAGAATTTCTGAGTTGATATTGTTGAACAAATTACCAAAGCTTCATCTTTTTTATTTTGTTTTCTTCAAACAGGTATAGGGAAAATCGTCATGTTAGCAAGGGTGCAGAGAAATGGTTGGATATTGAGGTTTGGGACTCCATTGAAGACTGCTTTAAAGCTCTCAAATCGCGTGGCTATCGAATTGCCACTACCCATGTGGGTGGACGTGGTATGTTCTTTTGGATATCCATATAAACAGGAAAAATAAAAACGTCGTTTTTTTTAAGTGTTATGAAATACAAACCGAAATAGCTAGTTATGGGACTAATGTTATACGTTTAAACTGACAATGTGTTATTCTTAGGTGTCCATTTACGAGATGGATTGGATTGAGAGACAAAATAATTCTCTAATCAAACAGAAAAACCATGAAATTGCATTATTCTCTTTTTTCTTAATTTATTTTTAATAGAAATTACAACAGAAAAACTTAAAAGGGAAACAACTCAAAGTTTATGAGATAAAGTGAGCTTGTAAAGTTTGGGGAGCAAATTGAAAAGGACCTTAAAGTTGAAAGGCATTAGTAATAATAATCATAAAAATAATAAAATAGAAAATCACAGCCAAAATAAGGTACTGAAAAAATAAGATCATAAAATTGAGCGAGGACGGCGAAAATTTGCAAAGCCAAAAAAAAAGAAAAAAGTGACAACCAAAATTTGAGCTCATTGTCTCAATTTCTCTTTCTTCTTTTTTGTTTGTTTGTTTGATTTACGTTTGTTTGCTCATAAAGCAATCTGAAAACGAAAAGAACTGTAACTAATGTAGATTTGTTTTCTATTAGTTAGTCAATAGTTTTCTAATAGTATTACTAGGGTAGGTTAGAAGATTATCAAAAAAATTGATCATGTCAATCATTGGCTAAATACTAATTGTTTTCCAAGTTTTTGTTTTAAATGGCAAGTTGCAAAATCTGGTTTCTTTTCACAGCTCTTGCCCGAGTGATCCGTGTCTGTACTCTGTATGAACTATGAAGTCATGAATTATGACTTTAGTGTATGGAGAGATTTTCCTTCTTCTCTCTCTCATTGAGAGATTAATTCTTATTTTTTTAATTTGCTCTTTTACACTGTCGTTAGTTTTATAGCAACTAAAAATGGCATATATCGGCTAAACGACAGTAAATTAAGAAAGCGACAACATGTTTAAACCACAATAACTACGAAAATGACGTTAACCTATGAACGACGATAGTAAGCAAGAATATATATGTATATATGTATGTATATAATGATAACACCGCCTAAGACATCGATGTCAATAAGCAAAGACAACAAATTAGGGTACAACTAGAGTATGGAAACAGATTATTGAAGAATAATGCTACGATGCCCAACTCTACTTCTTTTGTTGAAGAATAATGCTACCTATGAGATTAAAAATCTGCTTAATGCCAATGCTCATATTTTCTTCATTCTTCTTTTGTTGTTGTTGTTGCTGTTAAATGGTTGCATCATATTTTTGTGTAGGGGAAAAAGTGATGAGGCACTGGGATTGTCGGATCTGCATTGTAGTATTACAATGAAAGGAAGGTGGGGGAGAGAGAGAGAGAGAGATTTTCAAGTACTATAAGCACGACAAAAAGTGAGTGATCGCTTTGGATTTATGGAACTTGAAGAGGAACAGTGGGTTGCTACTGGATATTGATTGAACTTCCTGTTACTAGACAATAGAACCCTGTCAAAGATTGTAGAATAATTTTCATAAGTCAAATTGAGTTTTCTACCCTTTTATGATATTTTCTCATTGAGTTTCCTTGTTACAAAACTCGTCGAATTTGTCACTTTAAAAATCTTTGAAACGCGGTTTAGTCTTCATACTGAACTTATCAGCAGTCGGTAACAACTTTTCGTTGGCCGCCTAAATAAGTCTTTTTCGTCCAATTTGGTTGATTTTTCCATTAAACCGTCGCACGGAAACCAACAGGGTTCTCAGGGTGATTTGACAATGGAAGAACGTCAAATTCTACTTGCGGAGCTCTCCCTTCGTCGTCGCAAGAGTTCAATCAGCATTGCTCATGAGTTTGCCAAGCGGAAAGCAGCTATGCTAACTCCAAAGCTATGAATTTGATGTGCTACTTTTGTATGCTTTCACTTGGGGGTGCTCAAGAATCATGTCTCACTCAGTCTTGGGAATATGCCTAAAAGAAGTGACCAAGTTGATTTCTTATCTATTGCACCAAGAACAGAAAAGAATGCCCAAGAAATCTTTCGAGTTAGAAAAAGGGTCTCAGTTTGACATTTGATGTAACGGGGGTGACATGGTGGCATGCCTTTTCTTGTATCACTCTTCTTTGGGATTTTTCATGTTCATCGTGTAATTTGTATAGGAGAAAAATATTACGTCCCTCTGTTTTGCAGAACTTGTTTGAGAAAACCTGCTATTAACTCCCAATTCACTGTTGAAAAAGAAAAAAGAAAACAGTCAAATACTGACTTATTGCTTGGATGATATTTCCTCTCTTTTGTTGTTTGTATGCTAATGTCGCCGTCACATAGTAGTGTCTACTGTCCAACATTATAGTCATTTTCAATTGTCTTTTCTTTATGGGTACGGAGTCACACGATCATTTTAAAGGCTTAATCACGAAATACAAACTTTCTTCCTTAACTATAGCCCTTGTTAACATCGTGCCCCAATTTTCAGATTGTAACATTTCTTCCCCTTGTTATACTAACATATGTAGTTGTCGTTCTTTTGAGTTACAGTCATTTATATTTTGAATCGTTACTATTTGCTTTTCTTCAAAATTCTAATACTTCTAAAATGAATAAGACTCATTAAAAATGCTAAAACAGACATCCATTAAAAATAGCAGAGTTACAACTCTTACAATACTCGAATACTAACATACTTTGAAGTTTGATCTCACAACTACTGCAATAATTCCAAGAGTTCCTTGAGCACCTTCTCAGATTTCCCACCAATCTTAGTCGCCTTCCGAGCCTCTTCCCCTACTTTCTTAGCCTTTTCCCTCAGCTTCTCATCTTCCATTACCTCCCTAATCTTTTCCCCAATCTCTTCTCCACACACCAACTCAGCTTGGTCAGCCCAACCCCAGTTCCTTTCCCATATTCCCAGTCCTGCTTTCTCCACAATCTCTGCATTCACCTTTTGATCCCCATGCTGTGGCCAAGCCACCATAGGAACCCCCTGCCGAGCTGCTTCGATCACTGAGTTCCAACCGCAATGACTCACAAAAGCACCAATTGAAGTATGTGCCAAAATCTCCTCTTGACTCACCCATTCCTTCACTGCCATTCCCTTGTTCATTGTTCTTTCCAAAAAAGAACGGCCTAGCAGATCTTTCAGCTCATCTTTGTCCTCTTTATCAATCGTGGTGCTTTTAACCACCCAAAGAAATCTATGTCCACTCCTCTCCAACCCCTTTGACACTTCTCTTATTTGGTCTCTTGATATTGCTGTTCTGCTCCCAAAACTCACATAAACCACAGACTCCTCAGGTTGGTTGTCCAGCCATGACATGTACTCACCCTTGTCCTTCTTAATTTCAAATGATGCCAATGGCCCTATTGGGAGGAATGATGGGAGAGAGTTCTCCAAAACTCTTCCGTTTTTTATTTCTTCAAGAGTTTCTTTTTCGAAAAAATCAACGGAATTCACTATGATTCCTTCGGCTTTTGATAATGCTTTAGCGTTCAGAGCTAAACATCTGGTGAAGAGGTGATTTGGATTCTTGAATGGCGGAGGAATGCTTGATACGGGAAAAGGGGTTAAACCCGGGATAATGAGCTCCGTAGAACTGTTACCAAGTTTAGCAGGATCGGTTACAAGTACAGGAAGGTATGCTATTAGGCAAAAGAATTTAATGGAGGTGGTGCAAATAATGTAGCTTGGTATGCCAAGCTCGGCGGCCATTGGCGTTATACTTGAAGCTACAATAAAATCTGCGAAGATAGCGGAGAAAGGCAGCGAGGAAGAGGACAGCAAGGGATATAGAAGGTGAGCAGAGCGCGTGATGGACTCATATTGAAGATAGAAAGGGTCATCTGCGGTGGGGTTGTGGGATTGTATAGTTTGGAAGTCAACATGTTTGACTTGTGGATGTTGAGAGAGGAAGGCGGAGATGTGGGAGGATTCTGCGGCGGAAACAATTGGCTTTGCCGTGATCAATGTGACGGTGCAATTGCGAGATAGAAGCGTGGAAGCGATTCGGAGAAAGGGAAGCAAGTGGCCCATTCCGGCGCTTGGAATGAGAGCTATGTGAGGATAGAGAGATTTGGTGTCTGCTGTGGTTTTTGACATGTTTTGGATCTTGATGTGTGGGAGATGGATTTGTAGTTTTTCTGTTCATATATAGAATTAGAAGGGCATTAGGTTGGTTTGGAATGGAAAGGCAGGTGAAAACGTGAGCCATAATACTGGATCACCAGATCAGATTGAGGGTCTAAATTGTAATTTGGGATGATATCATGATAAGGTTGTTGGGTAAGGAGGAGTTTGATTATTAGTATTATTATTATTTAGTTTTTCGGATCAAGGTTTTTGAATATTTTATTCAAACACACGATACACGTATAGATAATTTAGTTTTTCAAGGTTTTTGAATATTTTATTCAAACACACGATACACGTATAGATAGATATATATTGATGCTCATGGGATGGGTGCATCTTCGGCTGTTATAAAAATTAATATTATATGTTCATCCAAAATTATTCTCTCATCCAGCTCTTTTCCAGGCACGGCCCCCCATCTCCATGGGGAGTAGTGTCATCTTCAAGAATATTTTCTCTTAAAGAGGATTATCCAGATACCTAAAACAATGATAATCATAGAAATCCATCACTTTTGGACCCCAAACATTAACAATTTATAATTTTCCTGTTTTGCGGTGAAGAGCCCATCAGTTTTGTTCAAGAACTCGCAATTCACAGATGGAAAAACAAATAATAAAAATAATTAACTTATTGCTAAGATGATATTTTGTCACTTTTACGCCCTTCATTTTTTTTTTTTTTTAAGGGTTTTGGTTTTTCTTATTTATTTGTTTGTCCATACGCGAGGATAATGGATAGCATATGCTGATTTGTCGTACGTCTACCTGGTTAAAATCATAACAATATTGGCAAGGAATTGCTTTAGTGTTAGTACTTGTAACTGTCAACAATATCATTTACATATATACAACTTTCAACTATAAAAAAAAAAAAATCATTTCCGTACATACATATACATATACATATACATATATATATATGGTTCCGGGTACTCATTCTGACTGAAACAAGGGTGGGTCTTTACCAACTTAAAAACATTCGATTTTAGGGAAGCCAAAAAACGTGAGCGCCTCTACGCGAGCCTTATTGAAATTGAAAAGGCCCCTTACTCAATATCAAAAGAGGACCATGGTTTTGAAAAGGAGTAAAAATATGAATGACGACGATTCCATTCGATAATATAACGTCTTATACATCAAATTGCAGAAACTTTACAGGGTGTTTCAGAAAGAACAAATGTTATTTCTAAGAATAAACATGTGAAATTGGCGTCGGAATACTTACAATCCTCATTTAAAATATTAATTACTATTGAAATAAATAATGTATCCTTCCCAAAATATAAAACCTAACTCATCACTCCAAACTAAATACCTAATCAATCAGCATTTGACCATCTGTGGTTTGTATAGTTTCCTTGGAGCTCTGCGTGCTTAAGCCTTCACCAAGTCGCTTCATTTCTTGAGACCTAATAAACTCCTCGATTCTCGCCTTTAATTCAGTGTTGGGTATCAACATGTCCCCGGTAAGATGGGAACGGTTGAATGGATCAGTCTGCAAATTGGCAAAAAGAGATTAACATAATGAGATGTATTTAAAAATAATAATAAGAAAATTAGTGGCAGATGAAGACATACACTATCACTAAGAAGATGCCTTTGAATGACTGGCCGATCTATTGTGATTCTGGAAGAAGGTAAGATCACCGGATCCTTCATTAATGTGTACTGCAAGAAAACAAACACTGTCAGCATTCTTTTTGTCACAAAATACCGCTATATAATCTCCTGTCAATAAAGTTTGTGGAAAGCATGTATGGATCCTAAGCGTAGGTAATATTTTATTAGGGGAAAAAAAAGAAGAAAGAAAACGTACTTGAATTGGATCAAGGAACTCATCGGGTATCTCTCCGAGAACAGCCTCCGTGCCCATAGCCTCAGAAGCGGCAACTTTAGCTTTGGCACCTAGCTCAGCAAATTCCTGTATAATCCTCCCATCTTCACCAATTCTCCTGAGAACATCTGCTGCTGCAGTGAACAACTGAAGCAAGCTCTACTCATTAGATTGTCTACAGTAAACTAATTTGGAAGAAAGCGGGGGCAAGCAAAATTTTATTCACACAACATTGTCAATGGAAGAGAACTCCTATGGAGTTTGCACCTCAAACGCATTACCTGGTCATTATATGATCGACCGTCCTTTGAAATGGCAGCTGGGAAGATATTTTCCGTATCACCTCTTGCCAAATGAACATATATCTGTACAATCTGTAAATAAACAACGAATTAGTTAGTCAAGGTCTTTAGATATAGGCTGTAAATAATTAAAAAGAGGACAGCATATAGCAACAGTAAACGCATTGTGATGGAACTCATAAATATAGGTTTGCTTCTACCAGAACAGACAATTGGGCAAACCAATAGCATACCTGCCTAAGCAATTGCTTTGGACGGAATTCATATTTTTCTGGGTCTTTCAAACTAAGGGATTTTCTTTGGGGACCCACCAGTTGCAACAGAAAGTAATTGAGCATACTTGCTACTCTTTCAACCTGGAAAAGAAAATGTAAAATATCATAAGTTCTGAAAAAAGGAATAAACATGTCCAAAACAGATTTGACAAGACCACTTGTCACTACATCAGAGCAATAACACAAAAGTTGGATAAAAGGCAAAAACTGTTACCATCTCAGCAAGTAGGAAAGGAGCTGTGATTTGTTCAGAAGTAAACGCCAGCATAGTGACATCTTTATTCGCCAATTTCATGTCAATACGTATAATCTGCAAAAGCCCAATTTGATAAGCTTCCCATAAATTGAGGAAAAGAAACAATGGTTTATTGGAAGGGGACCGGGAAACAGAGGCTCGGAAAGCATACTGACATTTTCCTGAGAATGGAATAGTCGGGTTCGCTCCTGCCTCTCTTGAGCAGGTCGCCGCTCCCATTCAGCAGTGTTCGCCATCTCAGCTTCCAGCTCTTTCAGTTCAAGAATCTTATTAAGACTTTCATCAAGAAGATAGATGCTGTCGTTGATCAGGAAGTTTAAGAAGTTCAGATAGACACCCTTTTCCTCTTCCTTTGCAATCTGGAAAAGATATATTTGCGCAGAAAGACACGTGAAAAGGAGGCAGAGAATTAGCAATATATTGAAGTCAAAAATCATGAAGTGGAATAAGGTAGGTTAGGTTCTGTACCCTTCTCCAAGCATTACGATGACTAGGGACTTGCCACAGGTACTCAAGAAGTTCAGCAATGTTGTAGCGGATGTTGAACTTATCATAAAACTGCGCACATAAAAAACAGAGGCCAACATAAAAAGCAAAGAATTGAGAGTTCATCCTGCGCATTAACAAAGGGAAGATAGCTCCAGGACAAGAGAAGAAAGTCTGTAAATTAGTGAAGTCGTTGTACGGACTAAAACAGGCACCAAAACAATGGCATAAGAAATTTGACGATGTTATGTTGTCAAATGGATTCAAAATCAACGAGTGTGACAAATGTGTTTATGTCAAGAATACAGACGATGGTTATGTCATTCTTTGTCTGTATGTAGATGACATAATAATTGTAGGTAGTA